TCTTCCATGTGGATGTACTGTAGCAGAATCTTTTTAGCCATCCATTAAATAGTTAGTTCAACATTCTATCAAAAATAAAACTTGGATAAATATCCTTACATGTGTGTATTTCTGATTATTTTGTTAAGATGAATCTTGAGAAATGAGATTATTACTATGTAGGGTTTCAGATATTTAAAGATGTTGTTACATATTACCTAACCACTTTTAAGAAAGGAGAGACCCATTTGTATACACATTCATACACCCACAGATAGGAGAGCCTTGGTAGATTACCATGACCTCACTAACAAAGAACACTGCTTTTTAAAAGCTTCAGTAATCTGGTATGTGAATAATGGCATTTTGGCTTAATTTGCATTTGTCAGAGGACATTTTTTTCATATTTTTAATTGGGTACATGTCTTAATTTTCAGTTCACGTTTTAAGCAAGTTTTAAAAAGGAAAAAAGTTATGGTTGCTAGAACAGTTTGTTAATATTTTGTTTCCTTTTCACATGCCAGGGAACCTTATAACTGTAAATACGAGCACAGAATTTTTTTTTTTTTATAATGGGAAGGGAGGAGACAGTGGTACCTTTATAGATGGCATTCACTTACAACTTTGCACCTAGTGATGAGAATGTGCGTAATTGAAATAATAGCACCTAGACAGTAACATCGCGCAAGTCTGACTTGTCTTCCTGTTCTGCAGCGCAGAGCCAGCATCTGGTGTGTCCAGTGCAGAACAGGTGTCTTGGTGAATTCAGGTTGGAGTAAGTGTGCAGCCCCTGCTCGCTGGCAGAGAGAACTGCAGGGTGTCTCGTGCCCTGGCCTCCTCTTCTCAGCATGTGGCTCTTCACCTTTGTGCTTTGGGTGGCCTCTGCAGGAGTGTGAATGAGGCCAAGGTCAGAGGTTCTATCTGCACGTGGCCTGTTTAGCTTTGTTCTGCATCGTGGCCACAAGCTGTACTTTCTTTTCTCCCCTGTGGCCCGCTGACTTACACATGCATGCTGTTGATAACAGAGAGAGCAGGCTGGAGGGAGGGGGCAGATGTCCAGAGGGAGAAGGATCCTAAAGAACCGCTAGTCTCACAGCCCTATTATGCTCATTTAGGAGAAGACTTTGACCCAAAGGTTTCTCCCCTTTTCTCCTGTGTAGTGTCCTGGGCGCGATCCACCTCAACACACACACACGCGCGCACACACATGCGTGCAGCAACATGACAATGAGGGGGAAGACTACTCAGCACCACCCGTAAGTGCCAGTGGATAGATTATTTATTATCGCAGCCATTTGAACATAAAGGACAGAGCTAATACTTAAAGAACTCAGAAATCTTCCACGAAGAACATTGCTTTAAGTGATCTCATTCAGGTTCTTTGGAAGAGACAAATACGTTTTGATGAAACTATATTTACAGTGATATTGGGGGAAGAAAAATTTGTGGGAATAGATGGGTTAGGTCAAAATCAAATTACCTGTTACCTCCTCAAACTAATAATCATTTCTATTTTATGGAATGACCATTACCGTAGTCACACAGAGACTAAAATCCGTTGTATTACTTCTTTCCTTGAAAATTACCTATGGTCCCTCCTTTTTTTATCTCTTGCATCACTTCTAATTGCTCAACGCTCTATTCATCTCTCCTTGCCTTCATCCTCATTTTTCCTTCCAGGTCCACCACAAAACCTTTTCTGTGCCTGGTTTCCCATTACCCACTCAAAAAGTCCCAATTCTTTTAATGTTGAAGTGAAGAGTTGCTATTTCTGTATTGGTTTTTTTCTTTTAGTTCATGCTAGAGGGTCTGTGATAGCTCCATGTCACTTAGGAAGGACCAAATACCCGAGCTGACCCTAGAGTGAAGGTCAGGAGCAGCCCAGTGGTGTATTTGTGAATGAACCAAATGCTGAGGTACTTAAATATGAGCACTAGCATTGCCATCAGGACAGTATAGTCCAGCCAGGGACTCACCTTCCTGTGTGTGTATGCAAGAGGCATCATTGCAAGGAATAAGAGAATGTTTTTACTTTAAATGTAGTTTTTAAGTTTAATGCCACCGTCTCTTCTGTATTTTATTATTTATATTTATGCATTATTAGGGTAAATTAAGAAAGTTGTTGATTATAAGGAAGGAACTATAAATGGATGAGCTGAAAATACCAGTAGTAGCATGGATTTCAAAACTGTCCTGTCAGATCTACCACTTAATATCTGTAACCTCAGATTTTGAACCTCAGTCTTTTCCTCTGTAAAGTGGTGGCATTCTATATCTATCTAAGAAAATTTGCTGAGAATACAAAATGAACTAAAGTATGCCAAATAACTAATACAGTGTCTGGGACATGCCAGATACTTATGGGTGGTTAATGGCATCTTCTTTTATGTGTCCTGTGATTGTAGCTTTATAAAGCAGGTGTTTCCTCATAGTTTATAGACAGAGTGTTTATGGGGGTCGTGGGGCAGGGGTGTGGAGAAAATTTACATGAATCGAGAGATATTCTTAGGGAACTTATGTGCCTACTAGAGAAAATTTCAATCACTTTACAACAGGTCACAAGCGTTCTCAAAGGGGGAAGATGATCATTGTTTACAAACCTGATCATTTGCTGCTTGAACTGTCCATCTACCTTTCCAGGGTATGAAATGTGTGGTTACAGTGTGGTGATAGTTTAGGTTTGTGTCAAATTTTGTCATGTTTTTGCCTTATAGCAAGTGTTTCAGTGGATGCACAGGTGATAGAATTAAGTGCAATTGATTTTAAGTGCTGGTATTGAAGAAAAACTTTAAAGGACCATCTTTCTAGTACATCCACTCCCTGGGCACCTGGTCCCCTGCCAGCACTCAGCAGACCGTCCCTCATGCTGGGAGCCTGCTCCCACTTGCAGGAGCCCATCCCATTTAAACAGATAAGGATGCTAAAGAAAGGAAGCAGAGTGTGGCAAAGACTAGAAATACTCATGGCTGGCGAAGTCTGTAGGACGAGAGGTTAATGGTCAGTGTGGGTGTGGAAGTGCGGCAGGAGCGCAGGCTCCGAGTTGGGATCCAGAGGTGGAGGGTGAGGGGTGAACGTCTTCCGTGAGTGCTTGGCGGCAGTGCCAAATCAGTCACGGAGGCTACTGCTGGAGTCATGGCTCAGCCCAGGCCCTGTGCCTCTCCACTCAGCGGTAGTCCTGAGCACTGAAGCCTGCCCGTTTTGTCCGCTAACTCCTGATGCACTGCTGGCCTCTGAGAAAGAAAAGGAGGAGTTTCCAGCAGTCACAGCACTTCTGCCCTCACACCTCTGAGGGCAGCTTGGAGCCTCTGCACAGCTGAATCTTCTCGGATGGTGTTTGTGGCTTGGCGTGGGGTGTCATGCCTTTTAAGAGTCTGTTAAATATAACTGCAAACACTTGGCCTGATTGGGTTGACTTACCTAACCCCAGTAGGTCAGCAGCCCACATGCGTGTTTTGTGAAAGCCTTCTGTTTTTCACCACTCTGATGAATGGGATGCAGGACAACCAGTTTTGGGTACACAGCCAGGAGGTCTGGTGACTCTGGTCTCAGCCACCGTGATCCGGTTGCTGAGTTGTTTCTGTGTTCCTGGAATGACTGTACCCACAATCTGTTCCAAGTGCCATGTTCCCCTCTCGTACATATAAAATGCAGCTTATCTAGTTAGTAAACTCCTGTTTGTCAGGCCTAGCTCAAATGCTGCTTCCGTGCCTTGTGCATTCATTTAAGAAGTGTTTTTCCGAGCATTTATTTGAGAGTATACTACGTGCTGGACACCGCCGATGTCGCCGAATGCCTTAACCCGCGTTGCACTAAGAACTGTGAGCTCGCCGTTCCTGGCATAGTGGCTTGCTCCCTGAATCTAGCTTCTCTGTCCTTCCTTCCCTAAGTGAATGGCCCACGTCCTGCAGCTCCCTGACATTCAGGCAGTGGGAGCATCTGGAGTGGTGGAGTTGCTGTGGTTAGTTTGCCAGGAGTATAGTAACGCCCATAACCTCCTGCAAAACAGAGGGCACAGTGGAAAATTAGGTGCCTAGCACGGCTCTCCCCAAGTTGACTTTCCTGCCCCCGCGACTGGGTATGCAGAGCAGAGAGCACGTGCAGTCAGCAGAACGATACCTAGGGCCCCAGGGAGAGCTTGCAGCGACAGGAAGCACATGCGTCTTCCTTGCACCTGCGAGGTCCAGCAGGCATTTCCTGGCCATTGTTCATGGTGGCCAGTGCCTATTTTCAGCCTCTGGAGCAGTCGAACCAAGCTGGCCGAGCTCCCTGACCTGACCAGCTTTTGTGTGCTGTTCACTGGGCTGCAGCCAGCCTCCCTGGGTGCAGAGGTGGAGGCAGCCGGATGTCACTGGGATCTGTCTCCTGCCCTGGTAGAAGCCAGCAGGGGATTCCCATCTGCTTTGCTCCTATGTGGGCTTCTGTCCACTTTTGTTCTCCTCCCTTGGTCCTCTTGCCTTCAGGAAGATTATACTGGGGCAGGCTGCTAGTGATGTAGCTACTGAGATGGTGTTTGGGTATGGGCACCCTCGACTGAGAAGTATGGGCTTGTCCCCAAGGTCATTGGGAAGGAATTTCTGAAAAGTTCCGCATGGGGCTGGGCGCGGTGGCACACACCTATAATCCCAGCACACTGGGAGGCTGAGGCAGGAGGATCATGAGTTTAAGCTCATCCTGAGTGGTTTAGTGACTTAAGACCCTGTCTGAAAATGAAAAGGGCTGGGGATGTAGCTCAGGGAGATGGCCCTGGATTCAGTCCCCAGTACTGGAAAAAGTAAAGTGTCACGTGGAGAGGAGAACTTTCAAAGTGTTGTGAGCTGGATGTGCATGCTTGGTTGGTGTGTTGTTTTCTCATCAGGCCTAAAGATGAAAAATCCATTTCCAGTGACCAGTTACCAGCCAGGGAGTTTTCCGCAGCTCTCCCTCTGACTGCTTCCCGGAAGCCCCTTATGGCTGTGTGTTGGGTAACATGCGGCTCTTCCCTTGCAGGCCAGAGGTGCGTGTATGAGGCGGAAGCGGGTGTGCAGTAAGGCGGAGCTGCACATTTGTAGTTTCTCTTTTTAGAAACATAAAACAGTAGTCACAGCTTCCATGCCTGTGTTTATGCCATCCTCGCCCCTTCAGCCTGGTGATTTTAGATGAGGGTGGCAAGAGGCTGCTGGGCAGAGTTGAACTTATTTTTCTTAAACACTATTATGAGCAGATGTGCGGGTGCACGCCCATGATCTCAGCACTCTGGGAAGCTGAGGCAGGAGGACTGCAAATTTGAGGCCAGCTTGGATAACTTAGTGAGACCCCGTTTCTTAACAAAAAATGAAAAGGGTTGGGATGTAGCTCAGTTAGTCGAGCACTCTTGGATTCAAGCCCTTGCACTGAAAAACAAAAACCAAGAAGCATTACTCAACGGTCTTGTTCAAGAGGTGGCAGCTCTCGGAGCGATCCTTAGTCATGCCCCATGGGTACTGGGCAGGGTGTTCGGGCACTGGGAGATCACCCCTTGATTCTTTGGGCGTCTGCTCTGAGCAGCGTGGAGGGAGCTGCAGCGCTGCAGGGAGGACTGGTCACCCAGAACTCTCTCTTGTTTCCCTAGTGATGGATCGTGCCACCACAGCGGTCCCAGCAGGTGAACAATGCTGAAGCCAACGCACCATGTACAGCGTGGAGGACCTGCTGATCTCTCATGGCTACAAACCACCCCGAGACCTCCCAGGGCCACATGGGGCCAAGGCTGGTGGGCATGCACAGGCGAGAACAAGGCCCAGAGGCAGCCAGGGCCTGCAGAATGGATGTGAGGATGGTGCCCCTACCCCAGCACCAGCCAGGCTGGCCCCAGGGACAGGCCCCGTGAGTGCCCCTGAGGGCCAACGAGGCGCGCCCCGGCACCGCACGGAGCACCACAGGACTTCCGCTTCCAGAGCTTCAGAAGCAGGGTAAGTGTCCCTGCTGACCCAGCAGGTACTTTGGCCTTGGACTTCGGCATTGGGTTATGCGTAAGTAAACTCTTCCACCTCTTTTTGTTCGGCCGGGGCCAGGGAGGGAGAGAGGGGTCCAAGAGGAGGTGTGTATGTGTCCCAGCCACACTGATCACGGGGCCACCACAGAGGGCCGTCGGGAACCCACACTGGTGATCAAATGTCCTGCTTCTCTTCACAGCCTGCTCACTTGCCTCTGGTGGGAATCATTTTCGAACACGGTAGAAGCTAGTTCAAGTCCACTCATGCAGTCATGGTACACTGGCTTCCTTATTAATCCCTTTTAATATTTTGCAGGCCACAGAGCATTGAGAGGGATCTGTCTCCTCTCCATTTGTGAAAAAGAGAACATCCTTCTTTGATAGTCACCTGGTTCCACCCATCCCCTTGCGCACACACTGGCCTGCTGTAGGGTGCCATCCCCCACAGCCGCTTGGTCGGTGTTTCCTAATGGTGAAAAACCGGGGGGACAGAAGAGATCCCAGCAATTCGTCTCAGAGGCTGCGCGAGATGGCAGCCCCGAAACTGTCTTGTAAACAGTTCCAACTTGGAGGAAACGTTCTTATCTCCTCGTGAGACTGTGCCTGCCTTTAAACTGCATTAGGACCCGGACAGCTTGGAGAAGCAGCAGTCATGAGGATGCAGAGCACGTGGCAGGGCAGGAACTGGAGACAGCCAGGAGCAGGGGTCTCAGAGAAGCAAACAGAGGGCGGTGAGAAGAGCCCGATGGGGAAAATTGCCTTTCCTGGTTACAGAGAAAGCTTCTTCAGTGTCGTCTGTCTCCAGGCGTAACTGGGAGGGTTTTGTTTTGTCAGAGCGTGTGACACCTTGGCTTCTGGGCAGGAGCAAAGACAAGAACATCTCCTCCTGGCCATGTAGTGAATGGGCTTGCGCTACCAGGTCTGAGCTGTCGCTGAGGGCACAGGTGTTGGAAGGAGATCCTGAGTGGAAAGCGCAGGAGCTGCTGCTCTTGCTCTGCCCTTCAGACTCCTGACGCACGCTGCATTCTCGGGCTTCGCTCCTGTGGGCCATCTGCCCGCCATGGAGTTGGGAAGAGGGCTCTCATGGCTAAGTTGGCTGGGTCAAGACAGCCTTCAGTACTCCAGACAAACTTGTGTCTGATTTCCTCCTGCCTTCTGTTCTTTCTGGTTTTGTGCTGAGGGCTCTGTCTTTCAGCTCAGATTGCAGGGTACCGAGTTTGTACCTTGTCTCCTGTTTCTTTTGTATTTCCCGGGAAACTTGCTAGTTCAGGGCACACAGTGGTTACTTGATACATGCTGTTGATTCAAGTTATCCTTCTCACCATTGTGACAGCCACTGAAGGCAGAAGGCTGTTCTTAATGAAGTAAAGGTGGTGCCATGGAGCCCCTACACATTGCTATGTAGGGCCTGTGGGGGCCTCCTCACGTTGGAGGAGCCTGATTGGAGTAGGGGTACAATAGGACCCCCTTTAGAATCCTGAGCGGGCTCTGTGTTCTCACCTCCCCCAAGGCCTGCTCAGGGTCTCTGTCCCCTATGTGGTAACAGGGTCCTAAGAACCATGAGGGCCTCCAGCCCAGCCCTAAAGCTGGGGAGGTGCAGGCAGGTCTGCAAACAGTCTCTGTCCGTTAGGAGTGAGGTGCTCAGACAGGTGAGTGTGTGGCACTGGGGTGTTTTCACACAGATGCCTGAGTGATGAATAGGTTTGGCTTCTTCGCCATGTTTCTGAGATTTGCTGATTCACTTGGGAGATGGATAGTACTGTTTGGACTGAAGTTTGCCACGTTGTTCAGCTCTCCACTTCGGCACAAAATACCTGACGTGTACAACTTATAGGAGAATAGGCTGATTTTGGCTCATGGCTTTAGAGTTTGCAGTTCATAGTCAGCTGGTTCCAAGGCAGAAACATCCTGGTAGAAGGGCCTGGCAGAGGAGAGCTGCTCACCTCATGGGAACCAGGAAGCCAAGAGTGGGGAGAGAACCAGGAGAGCTACGTCCTTCTGAGACCCGCCCCAGTGACCTAGTTCCTCCAGCAGGCCGCACCTCCTAACAGCCCACTCAGCTGTGAACTCATCAGGGATCTGCTGATGAGGTCAGTGCCCTCACGGTCCAGTCACCCCTCCGGTCACCCCTCCCCCATGTTGCTGCAGTGGCGATCAAGCCTTCAGTAGGTGAATCTGCGGGAGGATACTTTATGTTTAAATTTTAATGGTTTCCTTGTAGGAAAGAAGGGTAAAGAGCATATGCAGTGTGATTGAAATATATAGTGAATGTTTAAATTTTAAACATTCATTAAAATAAAAGACACACTAGGGCCAGGGCTGTAGCTCAGTGACACAGTGCCTACCTAGCAAGCTCAATATCCTGAGTTTGATTCCCGGTACCAATAAATAAATAAATAAATAAATGACACATTGCCATTAATCCCTCTTACAATACTCCCTCTTGCTTGAACACACTTATTCCATCATTCTTGCCACTTTCTGGAGCATTTCTGGACGTCCTTTTTCATGAGCGTCTTTCTAAGGTGTAATAAAAAGTATGGTAAATGCTGCTGCCGCATACCATCTAACAGAAAGGTAGGTGTGTGAAAATGTTATGGCATTCTCAGCCACCGTATTCACTGGACCCAGCATCTTGTGGCTTCCAGCTTTCCCCCAGAGTTAAAATGACCATGAAAAGTAAACAGTTTGAATCAGTTGAAGACATCAAGGCAGCCATGACAGCACAACTAACGACATTCATAAATGCTTGAGAATTGCTTCAGAAATTGGCAAGGATGGTAGCATGTGTGTTTGGGGGAAGAGGAATATTTCTTGTATTAATGACAGTGTGTCTTTTACTGTAATAAAAAATACAAAAAATTTACACATTCATGTAGTTTTCAGTCATACCTCATACATATTTGCAAAATTCCATGCTGGTGCACAAAGCCTCAGTGCAGGCCTTTCTGAGTTGACCTGAAAAGATACTTCTTTCTTTAGTAGTCAATAGATACTTGGTAGAAGGACACCAACAGAAAACTAGGCATAGAAGAAAATTATTTTTCTCCATCAGAAAAACAAAGTACTTTGGAAGGACACAGAAAGGTACCAGTAGTTACAGCTTTAAAAATGTAAAAAGACAAACCCACCAGACCATGGCTTATGTGAATTCTGAATGCGAATGACTAAGCGGTATGCTGCCAGCTCCCAGCCTTTGGTCCCTTGACAAGAGCAGCTGCAGTCATGCTGCCTGTCCTGTCCAGCCTAGTGGCCTATGCTGGGCTGGTTTCCAGGACTGGAGGGCACATGGGGCCCAGGATGGCCCCATCCAGCTCTGCGCCATCGGGATCGCTGAGGAGAGTCATGAGGCTTCTCTCCTGCCATTGCTCAGACAGGCTGAGGTCCACACCTCGGGCTCATCCTTGGCACCCCACTAGTGTTCTGGGAGGGGGCAGGTCGAGCTGGTTTGTTTTATTCTGGCAGGTAGTGGAGCCATCAGCACGTAAGTGATGATGCTTCAGTGCTGGGGGTTGAACCTAGGGCCTTGTGTGTGCTAGATGCACACTGTTGCAGATGCAAGATGAGAGGGGAGTGACAGTTCTGTAAAGGGAGGTGAAGGACTGTGCAGACTGCTGACCAAGCTCTTACACCAGTGGTGCAGACAGGACCGAGAGACGATTCTCCTTTGTACACAGATGCTCCAAATTAGGGTTACAGAGAACTTACTTTCTGTAGCTACAGTGTGTGGGACTGTCCTCCTTATGGCTGCACAGCACAGAAAAGGGGCTGTGAGCTCCAACAGTGTGACCCGCACGCACACCCAGGGCGGTACCGGTTACCCTGTCTGTGTGATTGGCCAGTCTGTCGCAGGCCTCCTTCAAGCTCCCCTGCGCCGTCCTTCCCTGTGACCTGTCCTGTTGCCCGTGTGTGGTCCTGTGGGTCCTCTTGTGCTCCCTGCTCCTTTCCACCCCATCTCCTCTTGGAAATGCCACCTTATCAGTTCATCTCCTGCGATTCCGTCCTGGAAATTATGCTGTCCCGTGAGTTCTTCCAGCGCTTCTATCGGCCTCAGGGATCATCCCTTTCCTGAAGGCCATTGCCATATCTAATTCATCTCTGACGTGGTTAATTCCTAGTTTAAAATTCTGTGTTTAGTAAACATTCATTCCTTAAATAAATTCACTGGGCTCACAGCCTAGGCACTGTGAGGTGCTGAGTGCTCAGAGCAGCAGGCGCAGGGCAGGAGGCGGAGAAGGTGTGCGGTGACTGTGAGAGGCTGGTCGGGAAGGTGGAACCTGGGTGAGGAGAAGCGTCGGTCTCCTTGCTGGGCAGATGAGGCGGCAGTGCTGGCAGCTTCACCCGTGTGGCAGCGCGTGGGGCGCGCAGGGAACGCAGGAGACGGGGGTGGCCGCAGACTGAGGAGGACTTCTGGAGGCTGAGCAGTTCCTGAAAAGGAAATCTCCCTCCTGTGTAGCTTCTCTGGGACCCACCAGGTGGAAAGGAGGGGGTGTCTCAGGGGCAGTGGGAGCCGCTTCCACTCCCCACAGGCAGGAGAGGGCCGGTGGGCATTGGGTGCCAGGGCTGGCCTGCCCGCTGTCTCTCCGTCTCGCATGGGCTGGGGACAGCCAGCTCAGTCTGTGTTCCTCCTTGCGCATGTCTCGGATCTCTGTCCCTTCCCAGACAGTATCTTTTCTCCAGTAGCTTGGGCTCAGGGTAACTTTAACTGTGACTTTAAATACCTTGTTCTGTGTGTTGATTTAGCACTGAGCCCCCTGCTGACTCTTGCCGGTGTCTTAGTCTCAATTTTGAGATAAAAAGTCCATGGTGTTGGACAGCCAGTGAGGACTTGTGCTTGGTGAGGGTGTCCCCTCCTCCAGCTGCTGAGGAAGGATGACCAGACATGCAGGGGTTGTGGCTGAGGACAGGTTCCAGGCCAGGGGCATTACGTCTCTTAACCTCACGGAAAGTGAGTCTCAGTGCGGACTCGTCCTGAGT